CATAATTTATTTCCCACAATGATTATATGAAGTTAAGTAGAAGGAAATCATTAGCTTTAGTGTTGCATACTGTTTGTAAAAACCAAAACATCAAAAATCCTTTAATAAAATGACTGAAAGAACTATCTGTAAGTAAGTTTAAAAGATAACAAAATTCCAATCTATACATAAATAATGGAAAACATCTGAGATTACTGTTTGGTCCATTCTATATTTATTTTGATTCCATTTCTTCCTGTTTAAACCGCATTGCACAGAAAATTTGGAAATTGATACTTTCTTTTTCTTTCTTTACTTTTACAACTTTAAAAAAATACCAATCCAAATTTCTACTCCCTCCTCTCCTCCCACTCCCTCCACACAGCCTCCCACCCCATCTTCTACAGGCCTAAGAGAGGATAAGGCATCCTGAGCTGGTGCAAGTCCAAGGCCCTCCCTACTATATCGAGGTTGAGCAAGGTATACATCTAAAGAAATTAGGATGTCAAAAAGCCAGTACATGCAGTAGAGACAAATCCCAGTGCCATTGTCAGTGGCCCCTCAGTCTGCCCCAACTGTAAACCACATTCAGAGGGTCTAGTTTGATCCCATGCTCGTTCACTCCCAGTCCAGCTGGAGTTGATGAGCTCCCATTAACTCAGGCAATCTGTTTCAGTGGGTAAACCTCTCATGGTCTTGACCTCCTTACTCATATTCTCACTCCTTCTACTCTGCTGCTGTACCCTAGGAGCTCAGTCTAGTGCTCTGATGTAGGTCTCTGCCTCTGTTTCCATCTGTTCTTTCAAAGATTTTTTTTTTCATTTTTTATTTCATTTTGCATTCTAACCATAGTCCTTCCTCCCATCCCTCTTCACACCCTCCTTACCTCACCCCCAGTCCACCCATCATCCACTCCTCCCAAAGGGTAAGGACTCCCATGGGAGTCAATAAAGCCTGGCCCATGAAGTTGAGAAAGGGCTATGTCTCTTCTCCCTTCATTAAAGCTGTGCCTGGCATCCCACCATAGAGGATGGGCTCCAACAAGGTAGCTCATGCAGCAGGGTTAGATCCTGGTCCTACTTCCATGGTCCCCTCAGATAGACCAAGCTACACAACTGACTCCCACTTGCCTTGCCAAGGAACTAGTTTGGTCCCTTGGAGGCCTACAGCCACCATTACACTGGGAGATCATTTTGATTCTCTGTACAAATTGAGAGGGAAAGGCTCTAGAAAGTGGAATGAGCACATGATTATAGTGGAGTCTGTGTGCCAACAGGGTTGGCCCTAATCACCACACACCTGGCTGCTGATGAGCCAAGATATGGAAAGGGAAGAAATCAGGGAAATCCAGCAAAGGGATGTAAAAATCCTGACCCCAGAGGACTGAGGATCTTTAACTCTGTGCATTTTTAGAATAAAAACATATTTTTTTTTCCAGTTTGAGCTGCTTTTTCGCTAGTAAAAGTCAAGATATAATAATAAAAACAAACATATAATCATTATTATGTTTTGGGAAATCGTATTATGAGCCATATTTCAAAATAAAATAGATAAAAATTAATCCTAAACACCTAACATTTTGCATGACCTTCCTGTTTTTAATTGCTATAGTTGGGATATGGTTTGCAGGATGTCCTTCAAGCACTTATTTGCTGAAATTATTCTCCAAAGGTACCAAGAACAATCTCACCTTGGTGATCCAAAGCCATGTCTGTAGGTGGTGGTAAATAGTAAACATGCTCCCTCAAGAAGCACCTTTGTGATTGTGAATTTGAAGGGAATGGAGGGAAGAGGAGGGGGACGCATATGTTCCCTCTCGCCTTGTAATAGCATGACAGCTTTTGACCTCTGTCAGTAAGAGAGTCATCACTAAATGAGGCCTGACAAACTTTGATTTATAAAGTATCACATATTTTTTGACATTTTTATTATTATGTTTTGACAATTTTATACATGGAGTAGTGTAGTTATGCCATTTTCTGAACTAATGCAACAGTCAACTATTTCTCATGAAAACTTGCTCCAAATTAGAACTGCTTTTGAGTTCCTGAATTCAATCATGAATAACTTCAGAAACAAATTACATGGCACATAGTTATGAACCTTGAGAAACATGAAACAAATACTGACACTTAGAAACAGAAAATTAAAATGAATATAAATAATTTCAAACATATTCATCATTGACAAGCTAGGTTTTATTTAGCATCTTCTTAGGTTTTGAAAAATATTGAGAACATTTAAATATTTTAACCATTTCTATTTAACAACTTTGAAAAATGGGAGCAAGGTCCATATGTGCTACATCATCTGTAAAATGCAGTCATAAATACAAGAGATTTGGCAATGTGTACAGAGGAAGAGAGAAGAGACTTGCTGACGGCATCTTTTTTTGAGTTAGCTTTTATCTCTTTCTTCTTCAAGGCACTAAGGTACAAAATTTTTTAACTATCTTAAAAAATGAAGCTCTGTTGCTTACTGGGATGATGCAATGCTATCACAGAAACACACACACAAATTAAAAATGAGTAGAATTTAAATAATGAAGGGAATGCACTGACAAATTTTATGGTAAATACTGGAAATGTGCAATTTTTATTAAGGCATTCAGATACTGTATTATTGATCTGAGAAAAGAAAACATCTGCACACTTGGTAAAGTATTTATCAATTGCGTGTGCAAGGAAGTAATCTATGTATTAGGCTTATCAATCATTGTTCAAACATTTGAACATTTTCACAGATTAAATAACCCAGAAGTTCCATCATGTCCTGACACACTTATATCCTGTCTTGTCCTAGCACCTTATCAACTCTGCTTCTGATATTAAAAATAATCCTCAACATGATGATTCTGCAAGCCAGTACTTCTGTGCGAGCTCCACACATGCTGCTGGATTATATCAGTACTGGGTGGGTCTATAAGACCCACAAACAGGGCTAGATTATATTGGTACTCATCCACACATATGCTGTTTAAAGATCTAGAAGCAAGACATAGCTAAAAGGCTTTAAGCAAAATATAAACAAGTTTTGTTTATAAAGAAATTATTGATACAATGAGACAAAAACACCAATAGAAGTCAGCACAGATTGTATGTGTTTTCCAGCCTCCCTGTTTATACTCCATACACATGTATATATACATGTGTATATATAAGCATTCTAAGCTGTTCAAAATAAGTCACAAAAAAAGTCATTAAATCAGATGCTGAAAAGTTTGTTTAAGATTTGACATTGGACTAGCTTTTAAACTATAAGGACAGTGAAAACATTAAATGGTAAATTTAAAATTTCACACATGTAAAAAAAAATCTATGTAAATAAAAATTATCCCAAGAGGAAAAAATAGCTCAAGTTCTTGAAACATTAATTTACAATGAAAATATTAATAATAATAAATACAAGACAAAAGGTGGAATTTATGCATTAGAAAAGAAATAATTGAAGTAGTAATATAAAAGGATATTAACTATTTTTCATATACTATATTGAAACTGCCAGATGTTGACAAAATATTTAGGTTCTTGGACAATATAGAAACATACATGTACCTATACTTACAATGAAAATGTAATTGTTGTGAAATTTCTGTAAAGAATTCAGGAAATGAATTAAAACATTTAAACTGATTTTAATTCATTAATTAGAGTTTGTTTGTTTGTTTAAGATATGGATTGAAATAATCTCTGTAGTGGTTGGCAAGAATGCTTATGAGCAAGATATTTTGGCAGAAGACAAAACCAAGATGAAAAGCAATACAGTACCATATACATTAATCAAGAATTTAGTAATCAAGCCGGATGGTGGTGGCTCATACCTTTAATCCCGGGAGACAGAGAGAGTTGGAGCTCTGTGAATTTGAGGCCTGTCTGGTCTACAAGAGCTAGTTCCAGGACAGGTAGGATTGTTTCACAGAGAAACCCTGTCTTGATATAT